CAGGCAAAGACACGGTGCCAATGGTTCTGGCATCAACCTGAACCTGGAAGGGCCCCACCAGGAGCACGCGGGGGTCTTTGGCCAGGGACAGCAGCTGCGACTGAAACAAGAGCTCCCGCAAATACAACTTCAAGCCACTCGGCGTCACCAATGGTGTGGGCAAGGCCGGCTGCAAGGCGATCTGCATGGTAGCCCCCGGGGCGACCGTAGGGTCATCCGTTTCAGCCATCCAACCCAAGCACTCTAGCAAGTGGTGAGGCAGCTGGACCCACCAATCGAGAGCACAGGCCTCGGGGACCTTGACAAGCAGCCGTGGAGGGACCTCTTCAACTTTGCAGGCCTGAACATGCGACGAGTCAAGGCACGGCCTGGGGTAAAAGATATCCGCCGCAGATCCTGCTACAAAAGAAACCTGCGGGAAATCAGCAACCTGTGCAAGCTTAGCCCCATAGCACGTCAAGCAAACCACAGCCGTTTGCGTAGCTGTTCGGTTGCGGTCAAAGGCCCACTTAAGCTGATGAAAGAAGTCCGTACGCAATGGCTGCACAGCAATCATGCCCGACGGCGTGCAAAGCAACAAAGGGGCATTGCATTGTGCCCGCACACAAGGGCCTGCATCAAACCGGACCGGGCCGAGGCCGCTCACATAGGCCTGGATGCGCGAGGTTGGGCAATCAGGGGCCTGGGTCGCCTCAGTCTTGCTAACAACTTCCAATTGCAGGGTCTCAAAGAGGGCCTCAAGGGCGATATGCTCCGAGAAGTGCACCGTACGTAGATGGACGGGGTCTTGGCCTTGCCTAGCCTGGCTCCAAACCTGCAGTTCATGGAAGATGGGGCAATACTGGTCCATACCCTGCTCAAGGGACTCCCGGAGGGACCTATGTGCAAGCCAATCACCCAAGACCGAACGGCCAACCAACAACCAGCCCTCTGGCAAGAAGAAAAGGGCACTGTTACCTGCATGCAGCCTTGTTTGAATGCAGTGGTGCACTGCATAAGCCGGATCTAGTTTGTCTCCCTGCGGGAACAGCTGCAGAGCGTGGGCCAAGGTGAGCATGGCCTGCGGAACCGCCAAACTGCAACCCAAGATGCGCATTGTTGTGTCATCCTGATGCAACAGCAGTTGAGTTCGCTGGGCCCCGTGGCAGCTGGCAATTTCGGGGGAGGCAAAGAACCTTATGGTGCCAGAGTCATCCAAGAGGCTACACAGGAGGCCACCCCTAGTTAACATTGCCGGCGGCAACTCGTGCTGCTTGTGGTAGCACGCCATGAAGCATTTTGCCTGTTGGGCAACAGTGCACAGCCTATACTTACGGGCATCAGCGGCAGTGGTGCCCGCTCCCATTGGGAGGAACCAGGGGTCCAAGTAGATCTGAAGGAGTTCCGCATTCAGTGTGCAATGCTGTCTCAAAGTGGCAGGGAGATCCGGGAAAACCGCGCTCATCCCACCCAGACTAGGTCGGCGCACCGCCTGCCACACTGTCTGTCTGAATTGGGCCGCGCGTGCCGGCTCAACCGTCTCATGAATGAAGATGAACATGCGGCGGGGCCTGCGCGTGGGCGCAACTTCCCCAAGCTGCAACGTGGTTTCATAAACCCTGCGGTAGCCAGCTGCATGCCAAGCCTGCATAACCATAGGGAAATCCGGATGCTTAGCGAAACCCACAACTTCCTCAAGACAGACCACCGGAGTCCGAACCACTCGAAGAATTGACGCTACCAGCAGCAACAGTCTTCCATCCGCACTCGAGAGTCCTGCTCCGTTGCCGGCATCACTCCACGGCTGACACGGCGGGGAGCACACTATGATCTGGGGTGGCGCAACACTCCAGATTTTGTGCCACCAGTGGTGCTCTATATTAGCCTGAAGAAGGATGGGGCCATCTGCTGGGTCCATATCAAGAATCTCCCTTGCAGAAGTTGCAATCTGAAGATCTGGCATTTGGGCTTTGAGGGGGGCTTCTGTCTCATCATCCAAATCCAATAACCAAGAAGTGCGAACACGGACGCCCTGGTCAGATAAGCTCCAAGCAGCCTGAGTCCAACCTGCGAAACCTCCGCAAAACAACTCTGCTACTTGCACATCTTCCTGCTGACGCAACAGAGCATCCCCTGCAATGAATGCATGTCCTACGGTGGCATCAAGTATCACGACATTCTCCTGGACACGCACTTGTGTCCAAAGTGCGCGCACGGTGGTGCAATGGCGCCCCACCTGATTCCACATAGAATATGGCAACCTTAGGACCGCCTTGGAGCCTGTTTGGCATGCTTTGGACACGGAGACACCCTGTCTGTCGATAGTGCCTTCCAGCTGTTGCTGAACACGTACCCTCACAAGCACTGAATCCCCAGCATCAATCTCCGCACCCTCAATTCGAAGCTCAAAGCAAGCACATCGTCCTTGTAAGTCATGACCGGAAGTGTCAGCAAAAGTAAAGAGATCTCGAATCTCTGACCACCAGTTCGAAAGCATGGCTGTTAAGTGAAAACACGGCGCAATCGGCACCCCCCCTCCCCAGGGAGGCAACGGCCCTGGCTCTAGTAGCCTTGCGCCAGAGTGGCTCC